CCCCTCCGAGTCACCGTCCAGGAGCCTGGGCAAGCCGCCACCGCTTGCCCAGTGCCCCTGGGACGCCTGCTGGTGCCCAGCCCGTGGAGGACACGTGTGGCTGGACTGAGTGTGCCGGGGGCCGAGCAGGGGCTCCCGCGGGAGCCCTGACCACTAATCCCCAAGGCCAGGAAGGAGGGCGGGCGGGGGCCTTACCCTTCAGCTTGGGAGGAGCACAAGGCGGGAGGGGTCGGCCTGTCCCCTGGGGCCGGGGGGTGGGAGCCTGAGGTCTGGGCCCCCGCCCTCGCTCTCCACTCGCCCAGCTGTGAGGCTACTCATGCTTTGCCCCCCTTGGGACAGCAGGGCTGCGGCGACCTCGGACGTCTGGCTGTCTCTGGGGCTCTGCCCCACCGTGCCGTTGGCGACGTGGACGGCCACCTGTCAGCCCCTCCGCACGCGGTCGCCGCCTCCCCCTGCGCCCCTCCTGACTGCCCGGCGCCCTTCCCCTCACCTCCAGCGTCAGGAGAGCTCTCTTTGTCCCGGAACCAGCCCTGGCACGTGCGGGTGGCTTTCTGGGAACCCGGCTCGCTCTCCAGTCCTCGGGTTTGGGGAGTCTGGAGGGAGGCGGGAACAGGGGCTTTGAACGGATGGGGTTCTGTAAATAGTTGTGAAAATATTCCACACCGGGTCTAGTAAAGGTCCAGCTGCCCCTTTGTTTTTGGTGAAAATTTGAGGGGAGGAAATAAACCCAAGGCCCAGGGCGGCCCTGTCTCCACTCTCCTCAGTTCGTTCTGCACAAGTGCCAGAGGGAACTTTCCAAGGCACAGAACCAAACCCGCTACTCTGGGCTTTAAACGCTTCAGTGGCTCCTCAACTTTCGTGGGGGTGCTCAACGCCTCTGGGGGCCTTCACCTCATCTGGGCTGCACCCCAGACCCACGGCACCTCCCTGGCTGCCCCAGTGTGCGTCCTGCCTCCTGCATGGGCAGCAGGTGCCTTGGGGAGACAGGGCCGGGGGCCGGTGGGGCTGTCCAGGCTGGGGGCTCCACGCTGCTGCCTCCGAGTTCTCTGGCCGCTGCC